ACCCGGCGAGCAGAACACGCTGCGCTGTGCCGGGAACAACGCATCATAAAGAAAGAAGAGTTTCTTGTCTAAGTGACCTCTCACACTCCTTCATGGAAAAAAATAACTTCAGAAAGCTTTCTGCAACGAAATGCTGTGTTCATTGGGCTCAAAAGGTTTAACTTCAAATTATCAAGATTAAAATCAAGATTTCATTAGAAAGGAAGTCTTAATCAGGACCCAGGGAACTGATCCAAGCAAAGCAGTTTAAAAAAAATAGTCTTTTAACAGTGGTGAGATGTAGAAAAGATGGAGGAATAAGTTATAAAAGTTTTATATCTAAAGACTCTTTACAGTTAATTTGCAGTGCAAGTAGTAGCCAGTGAATTGCCTTCTGGTCTGTAACAATGCAGGTCTTTTTAAACCACTACCAGTGAAATCCTCAAGGTATTGGCTTTTGCAGTACACCAGATCCCAAACCTAGCCCAAACACACCAAGTCCTTTATCGTTCTTTTATCTAGCAAATGGCAGCTGGGTGTTCTCTTTTACTTCAGATGAGCTACAGTAAGTACCAGAACTCTCCCAGGGTCTGCCAATCAATCACAATTAACCAGAAGATGCAAGTTTTAGAACAAAATTACTAAATTGCTCCCTCTTAGTCAAGAATGAAATTAATGTCCTTTACTAAGAGCTCCACAGTCAAAAAATTTTCACTTAACAGAGAAACAAATTAAAAACTGTCTCTGCCGTTTCAGTTCCTAGATCTTCTCTGGTGGGAACTTATACATCCTGCTTCCATCAGTTGTGATCACGCCTCCTCTTGGTCAGCCCATCCAAAGGGAAACAAACATAGTACATGCTTTTCAGTAAGAAACTGGTTAGAAACTACAAAGCAAAAGTTATCAACCACTTGAAAGATCACAACACTGGTGACTCTGCCAGCCCAGTATTTTGCTTTATCTGAAGTCCACAACACCTCAAGTTCTATCCGTAGTTCTACATCAAAACTGAATATTCTAAGTGTCCTCAGAAGAATTTTGTGTCCGTGTCCTGGTTTGAGAACAGTTTTATTCTGGTATTCTCAGAGCAGGACAGCCATTTCTTTCCATGCCTAACCTGGAAACCGGAACAGAAGAAACAGCAGGTGTAGGTGGTGATGAAGCCACCCTAAGAAATTTTAATAACTTAGTTCACAGGGTTTTCTGATACTCTCCCCGAGTCAGACAACCAGATGAAACAGAGCATGACTATTTGTGTAGATTCTCATGCATACACAGCAGTCACTTCAGTCTTACAAAGCTACTTTTATTTAGTGATTGCATCCTCAACAGTTATTCCATTATTAAGGTTTTAAGCGCCATAATTAACAAAAATCACTTTCTCTTTTTTTTCACCTCATTTTCTGAACTGATGTAGAAGGAACAGCACGCTTAGAAGAGCCAGATTCTTCCTCATTTTCAGGGAGACGCTTTCTTGCTGTGGTTGGCTAAAAGGAACATACAGCAGGATGGTTACATGAAATCAGGTTAAGACAGAGCTTGGCTGTTTTGCTTGTTACAGAATTAGAGCTACTGGACAAAGTCTCCTTTCTGTCATCAAAAAACTACTTGTTTCTCTACCAAAATCTATCTAGTTATATTTGATCCTTAGCATAAAAGGCACGTCCCCCAGCTTTACCTTCCACTACTGCTTAAAATTCTAATGAGCATCTGGTAACAAATGTCACTATACCACTCTAAGCTTTCATTAATATGAGAATTTTTCCTTGAATACTAAACATTCATGACTTGAATCCATCAAAACATACATGTCCAACATTTTTAAATACATGAATAAGCCTAATTTAAAGCCTTTAAAGATGCACATTTAAACAAAGTGTCTTGCCAAAGCACAAAAGTCCTTTCCTTCTATTCAGAAAGCAGGACTACTACATACAGCCATAATGCAGATTTCTCTAAGTTCTCAATAGATTTTACGATGGATTACTTCAAAATATAGTCACTCGATGCATCAAGTATAAATCTTCAAATAACCTGTTATACCATTTTTGATGTTTGCAGCAGATTCATATTGACAGAGGTCTGAGCAAGTAGCTGTTGAAATGTACTCTTCATATCCTCGTCCTGTGAAAAAAAAAGCAGTAACTCTTAGTATATGGAATATTTAAGGGAAAAGCCTACATTTAGGGTAATGAAATGGATCAGCAATTAAGAATACATGAATGAATGAAGGAGAAAAGGAAGATTCCCCACCTGCCCCCAGGTAAAAAACTTCCTAGTATGGCTTCACCAAGGGCAAGTCTATGCTGGAGTGACTACATCAGTGGACAAGGGAAGAGTATTTTAACACAAGAACTGACACAGTCCCCCACAACATCCTTCTTTCTAAATTGGAAAGACATGGATTTGATGGATGAACCATCTGGTGGATGAAGAACCGCCTGGATGGTTGCATCCAGAAAGCAGTGGTCTATGGCTTGATGTCTAGATGAAGATTAGTGACAAGTGGTTTCCCTCAGAGGTACTTGGGTGAAGGTGTTGGGGCCAGGACTGTTTACTGTCATTCACTGGTGGACGAGAAGCTCAACATGAGCCGTCAGTGGCACTTGCTGTCCAGAAAGCCAGTCGTATCCTGGGCTGCATCAAGAGGTCAGCAGATCGAGGGAGGTGATTCTCCCCCTCTGCTCCACTCTTCTGAGACCCCCACGTGGAGTGCTGTGTCCACTTCTGGAGCCTCTACTACAGGAAAGATCTGGACATGCTGGAGCATGTCCAGAGAAGGGCCACGAGGATGATCAGAGGGCTGGAGCACCTCTCTCTCCTATGAAGGCCGTCTGAGAGAGTTGGGGTTGTTCAGTCTGTGGAAAAGAAGGCTCCGAGGAGACCTTATTGTGGCCTTCCAGGATCTCAAGGGGGCTACAAGAAAGCTGCTGAGGGGCTTGTTAGGATGTCGGGTAGTGGTAGGACTAGAGGGAATGGGTTAAAGCTAGAGATGGATCAGTTTAGATTGGATGTTATGAAGAAGTTCTTCCCCATGAGGGTGGTGAGACACGGGCACAGGTTGCCCAGAGAGGGAGGGGAAGCCCCATCCCCGGAAGATGTCCCATGAGGGTGGTGAGACCCTGGCACAGGTTGCCCAGAGAGGGAGTGGAAGCCCCATCCCTGGAAGCTTTTAAGGCCAGGCTGGGTGGGGCTCTGGGCAGCCTGATCTAGTGGTGATGTCCCTGCCCATGGCAGAGGGGTGGAACTAGATGATCTTTAAGGTCCCTTCCAACCCTGACAATGCTACGATTCTATGTTTCTATGACTAATGACACAGGCAGTGAGATTGAGGGCACCATCAGCAAGTCTGCAGATGACACCAACATGAGTGGCACAACTGGCACACCAGAGGGATGGGATGCAATTCAGACAGACCTGGACAGGCTCAAGAAGGGGGCGCATGGGAACGTCATGAGGTTCAACGAGGCCAACTGCAGGGTCCTGCACCTGGGCTGGGGCAGCCTCAGTATCAGTACAGGCTGGGGGATGAAGGGACTGCGAGAAGCCTTGTGGAGAAGTACTTGGTAGTGCTGGTGGGTGATAAGCTGGACCTGAGCCAGCCAGCAATGTGTGCTGGCAGCCCAGAAAGCCAGTGGCATCCTGGGCTGCATCCAAAGAAGCGTGGCCAGCAGGGCGAGGGAGGGCATTCTTCCCCAACAGTCCGCTTTCATGAGACCCCACCTGCAGTTCTGTGTCCAGCTCTGAGGTCCTCAGCACAAGAAAAACAAGGACTTGTTGGGTCCAGAGGAGGCCACAAAAACGATCAGAAGACTGGAACTCCTCTCCTATGAAGAAAGGCTGAGAGTGTTGAGGTTGCTCAGCCTGGAGAAGAGAAGGCTCCAGGGAGACCTTATTGCAGCACTGGCTGCAGAAGCATTAAGAGGAGGGAAGGACAGCAGAGATTCTTTGTTAAAAAAAAAAGAAGCTAGTTTAGCAAAGAGTCAGGCCTGTTTCAAGAGAAAAAGCCAGCATGTAACCTCATTCTGGTTCAGCTGCCAGTGGTATAAGCTGAGCAACCTCGGGGAACAGGAAACCAGCACAAACAAGACAATTAGTTGACATAGCACATTCCCTGTTTTAAAAAGAAAATCTCGTTTTCTAGTTTCAGAATTTCTCTGCAGGAATTTTATTAGGAGTTGCTATGGAACCCTAAATCAGACTTCCAAACCTGAAATCAGGTCTTTCAGCCCTTCCCAGGACTGTATGCTGCTTGTAGTGATTTAATACACATCATTTCCTTTGGCTGACCTTTGAACAGTGACTGTGTGTTCACCAGATGAACAACTGATCTAGAACCAAAACCAGATGTTTATTCCGAACACCTAACTCAAGCAAATAGGTTGTAGAGTTTTCTTTCATTATCACAGCAAAGGTTGGGAAACTCAAGAAGTGAATGGGACATTCACTGCTAGAGACAATCAGAAATAAGGATCTTTCTCCTCCTAAGGATTTCAAATGTTTTATCTGGGGTTTTTTTGGCATTCTTTTTTCTAAGGTATGGAGCATTGCAGAATCTCCTTTTCTTGGTTTAAACATGTCCTTTAGCACCACAAAAAGGCTTTTATGTGAATATCCAGTTTATTTTAGATAGAATTGGGACTTCTCTTTCTTTTCTAGTGTCATCTGTTTTGACTGTGGCTAAACTTGAGCTGATGGGCGAGATAAATTATTTTTCCATTTATGTAACAAACATCTGAGTTTTTCTTCAGCATGCAACCAAACCAATCTTCTCTCATTCAAAAGATCCCAATGATGTTTTCAGAGGCAGAAACAGCAAATAATTGTTTATATGCCTTTGAAAAATGTTTTATTGAGTACCCAGTCAATACAGATAAGTCATTTCCACTGAGTAATACTTAGTTTTAAGCAGTTCACCAAGTTTTAGATTTCAGCGAAGAATGGAGTAAAGAGCACAGGTATTTAAAACACTAATTTGAAAGCACTACTGGTTTAAATAAAGCTGTAGAAATTAAGCTTTGTTTGGAGAACATGCTTACTTTTAGTACCTGAAAAATTCTCCAGCGGATGCAAAATCATTAGAGGGCTAACAGGCATCAGCTGTATGCATAAAGTATGTATGTTGTGGTTTTTCCACACTAACTTTTAAAGATAATACTTACAGACAACACAAGAGGGAGTGGGGAGCCAGTAACTCCTTCTGACTACTCACAGTAACACGACTCGGGGAACTCTTTGGGTGGTAGTTTTCAACGTGTGTGATATCTAGAACTGAACATATTGGACGTTGGCCTTCTAAGCAGGCAGGGTACATCACCTACAAACAACTAATATCCTTGGTAAGAGCCCAGGAAGGAAAACAGTTTAGAATGGCACCTGAATGCTACATCACATTTGGATTTGTGGATGTTTTCTGAAACTTTTTGTCCTGTCTTCAAAATTAAACATAACACTAAGAGGTGTCCGTAAAGGGAATATATATAACCAAGTTGGTAACAACTTGAGTTCACATACAGACATATCTCAAGTTCTTAGGTTGTTGGTATCACTGTCTGATATTTGCCCTTTCCCATTACGTGCTAGCAGTGATTCTTAAGATCAGTCTAGCATGGTTTATCACTAACATTTCCCGTTCAGAATTTTAATCTAAATGTAAGAATCTTCATCCAGTTAACTCACTGTAGAAGTTACACACAAAACTACAGTAGTAAAAGCCAAAGGATTTTTCTGATGCCTAGCAGTATAATTAAGACAAGTTCATGAACTAAAATCAGTCATCCAAATGCATTTTCTGTCTCAGGAAGCCGGCAGCTGTTGAGCACCGAGCGATACCCCCTTGCTTCCACCCTGTTTATTATGCTCTCTACCTAAGCATGTGAAACCAGACACTGTTCCCAAAGGGGTACTATGAATAGCATTATGCTCGGCACGAGTAAAGAGAATGCATTGTGTGGCTCAGAGGTAGGCTGGGTGACTTTCTTTAGCTTCCTCAAGCAAAAATATCCAGGAAATCTCACAGGCCCAGTGGTCACCTCTGGAGTGCCAAAATTAATAAAAGACCACCTAAAAAACACCTCTTACAAACCTAACTAGACTGTAACAGGAGGCAGCGAAACCATCATCTCCTACTCAGAGGGTTCCCAAGCCAGTGACACTTATTAATAGTCAACATAGTAAGAACATGGTAGTCCTGGATGCTTGCCAGAAACAAACTCTGCAGGATTCTGCACTGCCTGCCCGCACAAACAAGATGAGGAAGTGGGAATCTGTTAAAAAGCTCAGAGGAGGAGGTCCATCCTATCAGAACCACAGTCAGACTTGGTCTCTAAAAAACCATCTTGATTCTCAGACATTAAAGTGTTGTAAGAAGAGCTGTCTCCAAGAAGATGCAGAAGCTGGTGGTTGTACTGAAAGAAGATATTCAGCAGAATACTCTGTCTCTTTTTTCCAGTCCTCTCAACAGGGACTAAAAGTCTGAAAGCAGAGGCTAGCTACAGATGCAGACTAGGCTTTATTTTCTGAGAAAAAATTCCAGGGATCCAGAATTTTCCATCAAATTCAGAGCAGTTCCCGGAGGCATAACAAAGGGTGTTGAAGGAGGACCAGAGTACATATAGGAGCAGCCTAACACCAGTCTCCTTCAACAAAACCAGAGAGGCCTGTCAACCTCTGCTGTTGAGCTGGCACCTTCCAGCAGAAGACAACTGACTGATCGGAAAGAATTAGTGTCAGTAGAGCGGGC